TACACAGTTATAATTGATTTCTTACAAACCGGATAATATCAGTAATGATTGAATGATAACATTTACGTTCCGCGTATCTAAAGCAATTGCATTATCAGTCAGCTGTTGAGCAAGTGATTAATCGTGTCGTTGTGCATTTATTTGTGCGTACGACTTCACGACTAGAGATATGAGACGCGACGTGTTTTCCAACCGTACTTTCCGGAATTTCGGACAGAAAATCGACAATGCACGAAATCATCCATCATCGAACGCCGAGATATTCAGTTAATTTTTTTATTGCTATCAGCGTGTCGTGGAGTGTTAAAGCAAGTCGTCTCTGCGCGTTGATTACAACGTGAATGCAATTTAAAACGAAAACTTCAACTGAATGAGAGATTATAGTCGCGCGCGCGGCCTTCTGTCACGTTATCGACCGCTTAATCACCACCAAGGCGCACCTATCACCGATAACGTGCGGTCTGTATGCGTGGCTCCGTATATTCCTCCGACACGACAAGACGCGACCTTCCCGCGCCGACAAAAACAAAAAGAGAAGATAGAATTTAATAACCTAAAGACTAAAGACATATAGAACACGAACTGCGCCGTCCGTGTGCAAAATCGATCGACAAAAATGAGAGAACGCAAAGATGGCCACCAGTCTCTATCTCTTACCGTTCAACCAATCATCTTAGAAAAACAGGGAGATTGAATGTCTTCATGCTCCCTCTCTCTCGTTTTTGTTGACTATTTTTGATATTCTATATCTTTGCTAAAGGCAGTTGCAAACGATGCGTTCACTTGACAAATATTCCAGCCAAATATCTATACGAATCATCCATGTTTGCCGAATATTTGAGGAATGAAAGCATCTCCTTTTTCCCATCGAACGTGTTTCGTCGTAATTAAAGTTAGTTTTCTCGTAAAATACGATTTTTCATTTCTTTATTTTTACTAACAATAAGTTTGAAATATATATATATATAGTTCCCATTCAGATGATCTACTTAACGACTTGCTATCATAGTTGCAAGGTTAATTCGATATCGCCGCGTCATTGTGAGACCTACAAAAAAAAAAAAAAAGAGCGAGAACACAGCGAGTCTCTGGCGAACGATTCACGATACCGATTACGATTCGCAACCGAGACAAACATCGATCGGACGGGCAAGGTAATCGACGATATACTCGGATACGACTCATCGGGAGGCGAGACGTGTGTACTCATCGATCAAACCGCAGCAGTGTGCTTCTCCCGTGTTAAGCTTAGATCCACAGCTAAGCAGAAATGTGTACGGTTCACGCACGGTTTATGGATTATGCATAATCTACATAGATCATGTAATAAGTTCACGTAGACGTTGCGCATGTTGCTACCCGATACAGCAATAGCGAACAGCATCACGTTACAGAGCTTTATGCGAATCGCAAACTTGCAGACCAGGGCGTAATTTCCGGCGACAGACAAAATTCTTTTCTATTTGTTCTGAGTATACATAAAATATGCGTGTGTGAATACACAAAACGGTTTTATCGCTACAAATTATTCATAAATTTATTACTTCGTAAATTTAATTTAATTTTTTATTTAATTATGTACATGTATGCAATTTTGATTATTTATACACACACCAATGAAAGTGAAGTTACTGTCAATATGCATTTGACCTATTTCCTGAAGAAATGTATGTAATTTATAAATATTAGAACAAACACGTTTTTACTTTTAACAAACGTGCAAAGTTAATTCTTCCAACTTTGATACTTATTATGTATTATCCTAAATATAAACTTATTTCACTATCAATCAAATGAGCACTTGTAGTAAAGAACGAAATATCACAAGAGCAAAGCTACGAGGATAAAATAGTCGTTACTAAGCGAGTCGATCGTTTTGGAAGCGTCTCTGAATTTCCCTTACGAGCGCATCGAGATTCTTGCGTTAAATGTTCCACCGGGGAAAAACGACGTGGAAAGACGAAAAACGAGAAAGAGAGACCCGACCACAACTTCTCGACTGTCGCAAGAAGTGCCCTCGCAGTTCGCGAAACGGCGCACATCTCTCGCTACTTGCCGCCCGATTTAGGTCGTTAACGGTAAAACGCCGCAAGGAAGCCGCTCCGCGAAACCGAGGCAGATCCGTTACCGATGATGGCTCTCGATTTTGCCGGCTTAGTGAGAACGACGAAAAGGTCTGTAGATGCATCTCGCAAGAATTGTACGGCGGACGGTGTTGTCTTTTTATCGCTCGACATTTCAGAAATGAATTTGCAGGAAAACTAATGAAACTTGACTCTCCCGACACAGTAACGTGAATTTTAACTCTTCCCTCAACAAAAAGGATCTTCTAGAAACAGAGAAAATTTTTTATTGTTCTACATTACAAAAATATGAAAAAATTCTAATATACTTGTCAAAACTTTAACAAGTTCTTATCACCATAGAAGTCAGATTGTTTACTTTACATAATTTATCTACTAGAATTCTTACAATCTCACAGAATCTTACAAAAATATAAATGATACCTTTAAAGATTTGAAACAATTGACAATTGCCGATGTAAATGCCGAAAGTTAAAGCCTCGAATCTAACCAAGAGATGTAAAAGAGTTTTATGAAGAAATATCTGTCGACTCTTCACAGTCATATATTGCGTACAAATCATTATTTGAATAATATAATTATGTTCTAGAAAAGTGTCAACTTGAATTATTGCAGTATAGTATCAAAACCACGCAAGGATCGATCTAATAAGAAAAAAGCCACTTCGTCCTAGAATAAATCTGCAGTACCGCAGTGACGTACTATATACAAGAATCAACCCCTTGCCCTTCAGACTATTTCAGATCCGCGTTACAACGGCGGATGCATAATAATTCGGTAATGTCGGGCTTCCGTAACACAGGTTTGCTGCACGTAACGCTCGCGAGTTACGTAAGTGCGGAAAAGCGTTAATCAGAGTCGATATATCAACGATGGATAAGGCGTCCATTACTTCTCGCGTGGCCTTTTCCACGAGATTGCTACCTCGATCCTTGCGCACGTATAGTAGAGAAGCATCGGGAAAGATTTCCGCGGAGAATCGAACCGCGATCGCTAACGAACGCGTTTTTCTCGCGCGACACGTCTAATTACTCACCGCGCCGTTCCCTCGAGGACGAGCTTCCTCGAAGGACGCGCGAAACGATCCGTTACGCCATTGCGTTACCGGCATTAACCAAATTACTCGATATCATTTGATGACTTTGCCTCGCACTGCGCCTGGGAATATTTAGGATCTCTCTCATTAAATGTCGCTTAGCGTTAACCGTGGCCAATTTAATTTCACCTACACATTTTTACCTAAAGATTACAATTTTACCTAAAGGTGTGAAGTAGCGATAATAAATCGACGTACCTCAAACTAGTCAGTCTGCAAGGTATTTACGTAATACTTAATAGTAAACGTTAAAATACGAAATTGTACAGGAATTATCCAAACGTATTATTTTTGTCACATGGCTTAACAAAAACAATGCCTCGACTAATAGCATTTACTAAATGACTTAACTAATGACAATTTATTAAAGACTCTTCGACCTGTATGACAATGATGTAGAATAATTTAGGGGAAAAAACAAAAAACAAATGGACCGACAGATTGGAGTTAAACGACGTCAAAATCTAAAGTGTCTGGAACGAGCGAAAGAGAGAAGGGAGAAACGAAAATAATGTCCTGTTTCTCTTTTTCTACGAGTACTTTTCGTTCACGTGCACTACCGTATGAATGCGTAATGGAACGACCGAATGCATGCGCTACGATGGAAATGCAAACATACATATTTCACTTGCAGTGCGTGCATTCGTTCATTCGTTCGTCCTTTCCTTGACGTCATCATATAGCATAATGCACACGGGTGACAAATAATCATTTGTTTCGTAGAAAGAAGTGACTGCGAAAGTTATGCATTCGCTTTCCTTATTTTTCTTTAAAGCTTCAATATTCTACTAGATAGATGATGCTGCATTTATCGGAATGTAGTCACGATCGCGAATACCGCTTACTTGCTTACACTCCGATTTTTCATTTTACTTCCCGTGATTCATCTCTTCTTGAAAGAATTTTAATAAATACCGAGAGAGAGAAACACGTACGAAATTTTAATAAATATTTGTTTCAATATAGTGCCAAGTGAATATTTACTAAATACAAACATTTTTTTTTATTTTAGTACAAGAATGTATTATATTTTATTTAATTATTATATTTCTTTATTCAGCAAATATTTATGTTCTATAAATAAATGTTATATTAGTACTATCTAAACAATTTTCTTTCAAATTTAGTATATTTTTCTTTCAGTGTACTCATTAAAATTCTATCAATTGCTGTTCTAATTAAAATGTTGCTCCATTTAGAGTTTAAAAAAATACTTTATTTTTCGAAAAGTTGCTAATTTTATGTGTCGCTTCCACCAACGTAACAAATTATCACATTCTTTGAAATTGTGAGATAAATTTAAGTAGAATATAAATTACCGTCTATTTAAAATCGTTACGTACGTTACTTTTAAAACAACTTTTCGAATTTGTTCTACAAGTTGACTCATAAACTGACGTTACTCCGCCAATTACTTAGTTGCTCCGAGATTTTAATTCGACAAGTCCGCGATAGAGATCCTCAAATTAACCGAATTATAATTCCGTTTGACTTCATTTGGAATAAAGTAGGTATGCGGTTGAGAAACTGCGTGACGACGATACGCAAATATCGCGACAAAGTTTTCGATCGTAAAAAGGACCGCGATGATAGTTATCGCTATTACAAAAAAAAACCGATATCTCGCTGCGTCGTGCAAAATATCGCGTCGCTCTTCGCGACCGGCACGTACCTCAACCGAAATAACTCGGAGCACTATCTTCGTAACGTTTCGACGAATTCGCGGGACGGCGCGAGACGGCCGTAAACCGTCAAGGTGAGCGAAAGAGAGATGAAGGAAGGGAAAAAAAAAGAAGAATTACACTTAGTACAAAACTCACAGGAGAGAACTTCCTGCAGCAGCGTCCGGGCTCTCCTTCCCACTCTCCTTGGACTCCCGCGAGGTCGCCGGGGCCGTTTACTCCTGGAACGCACAAACGCGCCGTGTCACCTTCCGCGTTTTCACGAGAGTTCGTCGTCGGGCATCACCGTCGGCCGCTCTCTCACTCCGTGGGACTTGCACACGCCGCGCCGTGCCGCGCCGGCCGACGAAAACCGAAATGGGAACGTCGGGTCGAGTCGGATCGCGTCGCGTTGCGTTGCGTCGCGCCGCGCCGCGCCGCGTCGTTGCGTGGTGTTGCGTCGCGTTGTGTGTCGCGTCGCGTCGTCCGGTCGCTCGCGAACGGCGAGTGTCTCTATCTCTCTCTTTCTTTTTTATTCTCTTCCTCTATAATTCCCGAACACCGCTATTCCGTCAACACGATTCCATTCCCGTCCGCGTCACTCCGCTTACTCCGGGATATCCCCGTTACGTTGTCACGTACGCTGAAAAACGCACCGATCGTATAGGCTCACTCGAGTTACGCGTCACGAAGAAGGGAAGACCTTCGAGAAGAGGAGGGGCGCCCCGCGCACTCCGCGCCCAAACGAGTAATACGAACCGGTGAATCTCCGCGCGACAAGAACAAGAGACGGAGAGAGAAGCGAAAGGAAAAAAAAACTTTTGCCTCACACTGTCTTCACATTCTCCTTTTCTTCACTCCGTTGTCTCGGTCTCGTTTGATGTCCCGACGCGATGTAACGAACGAGCGCGAATAGATCGCACAGAGGATAATCTATTGTTTCTATCTCTCTGTCTTCGCGCGTCAAACTTCTATCTCTATTTCTCTCTCTCTCTCTCTTTCCCCCCGCGCACTTTCGACGCACTGCAGTAGATGGACAGATAACACACGTAACGTTACTGCACGTATATATCGCGTTGCGCGTGCGACGCGACAGATGAACTCGCACTCGACTGTCGCTCAGCCGACTCAGCTCCGCTCGCGTTTGTCCGCCCGAGAATCACCGGAGGAGGCCGTGCACGGTCACACGTCTCTCGCGCTCGACACGTCCGGACGTCGCGGGCGCCGATGGCGGAGTGACAGCGGAGTGAACCGGTGGCGCCGCGAGCACCGACGGTGGCGCCCTCGTCAACTTTAAACGGCCGCCCACTGGCGCGGGTCGCGAAACGCGCGCGCGCCTACACACACACACCCACGTATAGACAAGTGCGCGCGCGCGACGCTCTTCGAAGATCGGAATACCACGGAACCGGAATACACGCACGCACGCACGCACGCATGCACGCACACCGACGCGCCGAAAAGCCGCGCGCGCGGATACGACAGCTACACTCCGCCGAATCTATAATGGATATTCGCACCGACGGACCACCTGGCCCACCGCCGGTCTCTCTCCCTCTCCCCACGTTCCTACACCATCCAACGGGTGTCCACCGATACACACCGACGCGATCGCGGCAACGCCGTTTCGCTTCCCTTCCTCCTCCAGTCTCTGCCCTTCGTCCAAACTCCGATTGCGTCGTCGTCGTCGTCGTCGTCGTCGTCGTCGTTACAACGCGCGCGATTGAAGGCGCATACGGAGCGAAGGGGAAAGGGGTGTAAAGGGGGAACACACCGTCGGGGTTGTCACGACGTTTGGCAAAAGTTCGATGTCGGGGTAATATTCTGATCGGTTTCGACATAATTCGCCTGTGTGCCCGCATCTCGTTGGCGACGCGATCGCGGAAATAGAGTACGCTCGGAGAGAAAAAAATTGGTTCGCCGAGGCGTACATTGAGTTATTTACATTTTCCATTGGAAGCGCGCGCGCGTATCCAATAAAACAAATCCCGTATTAGAACTGAGAGTCGATTCTTTATTCAAATGTTTTTCAAGTAAACACCGGCAAAAATGTATTTGCGAGCTTGATTAATTAATCGTATTTACAACGTGCCTCGTAGAACTCGTCAAAATACGGTAATAAACGCAATTATACGGATTTGGCCGTATTTTTGCGATTCTAATTCCGATCGCTTTTAAGCGCCAACGGAAGCGGAATGTACGAAAAACTTGCGCTCAGACGTATGTACATACGTGTGACGTATGTACATACGTGTGACGTATGTGTGTAGGTATGCATGTACGACCGCTGAACTAAACATAAAATTATTTACGGTGCGAAAATATTACACAGTAAAAAATATTTTGTAGTTGTGTTCAAACCCTAGTCCTTGTTAAAATTTTTGCGTTGAATTTTTAACATATCCGAGTGTTAATTTAACATAATGTAATTGTGTAATTTGAACATTTTGTATAAAATTAATATTCAACATTTCTCTCTCTTAGTGCAAAAATAATATAATTTATAAGCAAGTAAACAGTTAACATAAAAATAATGGATTGTATTTTAAAATGTAAATTCTAAGATAAAAACGAACAAAATGTGTTAATTTAATGTATTATAAATACTAATTTTACTGGAGAATATGCTTCCACATCAGTTTGTAAGCAAATTGTGTCAGTGTTATATTTCGTGTTAATGTTTTACATAATGTTTGTATTATTTTCATATATATTTCATGTTAAATTAACACAAAAATGTGGATGGAAATTTGTGAAATGTGTTAAATTTAAGATAAATTTTTCGTGTATTTTTTATTAGCAATGAGGTTGTAAGATATCGGCGTGATTAGTTATATATAGAAGAATAATTTGTGCAGGGTTATTATCCGTCCTCTTTTCCCCGTTTTCCTTTTTAGGAGACGTCTGGGACGATTTTTCAAAAAGCATCCAGGTTTTCAGGAAATTTTCTAAATATTTTATTTTAACTTCTCCCGCGCTATTCTGTATTAGATCTAATTTAAAATAAGTATAGTAACTATAAAAAACTAATTAATCACAATCGAATGTGGAGAATAATCGGCTATGATTGGCCAATTTTTTACGCCAAATTAGAATCACTAATGAACAATTAGGGAAACGTTATTAGTACTATTTCCATCATTCTATCCTTGTTTTATGCCTAATGAATGACAAAGATAGAAACACACAAATTGCATTAATAACGTCTTTCCAAACGCACCCTAGACGTGAAATAATTATTTATTGGCTGTTTCGACTAATTTTACTAATCTATACACACATTTTTACACTTCCACTTGCAAGGAAACTGTCCGGGATATTCGGAGGTTTTGGCTTGTAAGTTCTAGTTTTGCAAATTTTGATATGGCAACTCTATGCATACCTGATCACGATCCCGTACCAATCGCGCCTCCGTCTCACTTCGGCGACAAAATGGCTGACGTACGCGAGAATTTCCGACGCATATAGATCATCGACACCGCATATAGATCATCGACACCGCGACGATACCTGCAGGTGTACGACGCCGATCGTACGCTACATCTAATACGCTTGATACGACGTATTAAGGTCTAGCATTTCACCCACGCCCGGTGAGATTTACTTTCCGAGACGGTAATAATCGCGAGAAATACGGAGCGCGTTAAGAAGTCGAGCGTGTCATCGCGACGCGTTTCGTGAACTGACCGCGATTCAAAATTCATCGAAACGCGGCGTCACGATTGTCGAATTTCCGTAACGGTCGGACCAATTACGTCGCACCGTTCGAATCTACCCGTATTATGTCGCATTTCGAATCTAATAGCAAATTCGGTTGAGCGCGTTAGAGTGCATTGGTGCATATTAAAACCGTTGTACACTGTTTTAATCTAAATGTAAAAACAAAATGCAAATATTTTGAATTATAAAGTACATATTTTGTCTAACAGCACAATAAAATATTGACAATTTCACGGTTCAACCCAGTTTTACACATCTTTATGTCATAAAATGTTCATTAACATTAGATTATTAAATATTGTTATAAAAATGCTTATTAGCATCAAAAATTATTAAATTGCTAAAATTAATAAATTATTAATTTATTAAATTATTAAATTATTTGTTTAATTAATAAATGATATTACTATTCTGATTCTGTACATAATTGCGTTTCAAGATCGAAAAATTTCGCGCAGTTTACAGAATCAAATATAAATTCACACAGAAATATTTAAACACTAATATCCGCTTTAACCGAATATAAAATTTCTCTTATTTAAATCAGATTTATTCTCGGTATCTAAATTTATATCATATAATAATTTTTATGTCAATTTATATACAGCTTTAATATGTAACTGTCCAATCAAATTTGCTATTACATATTTTAAGATCTTAAGCCTGTTTTAGATTATCTATTCCTTTTTTTTCCGTTTCTTCGAGGTGTCTTCGTTCTATGTAGGTGCGTGAAATGCAATTAATATCCATTTCTATTACTGCAGAGATTAACTTTAATCTCGGTTTAATTTACTCTTTATTTTTTTCTAAATACTTAAAACTAGAAAAAAGTAAAAAATAAGTTAAATCGAGAAACAGTTCATCTGCATTGATAGAAATGGACAATAATTGCACTTCATGTACCTATAACGTAAAGCAAGAACGTCACAAAAGAAGAAACAAGGAAAAAACAAAAACGTAATCAACCTGAAACGAAGCTTAAAATGCCGAAATAAAATTCGAAATGTTTCAATACAAATCGGAGAAATGATCGAGAGAAGGTGTATCATAAAAAACGCAATCGATGCAGCTAATTGTAGAATGATGTAAATAAATAAATGTAAAAATAATGAAGATACGAAACGCGAAGCAGAAATAATAAAAGTCGAGACTCGTTATTATTTATTAATAAATATTCAGGCAACCGCCGGATATAACGTTCGAGACAACATACCGCAACGTAGCAATGTATATAAAAAGTCTCAGTTTCCAATACACGCAAATAATGTATCTCGCTTTTGTTTTTCACGCAATATTATTTAGTAATCATTTTGGAGTTATTTTGATGTTATTTTGATATACATAAGGACTTGGATATGTCATAGAAGAGAAATTACTGTAATAAGGTCTAGTCAGTTTAGTTCCAAAATATCATTTGGAAAAAAGGAAGCCATTATAGTGATATTTCGTTTGAAAGAATAGATTAGCGAGAAGCCATTATAGCGGTGCGTAGTAACCAAAGGCCCCAAAGGGTTAAATGTACTCGGTTTTCTACACGATATAATATCTACAAAAAAACTTAGCTTCACGTGTGTCACGTGCCTCGCGCGAACGTCGCCGCCTGGCGATCTCGCATTGCGCGACAACTCGTGATGTCATATTTCATTTTCAATTCCTCTGACCCGTATCTTATAAATTATGCAACACAGTGGGATCCGTGATAAAAACCTATTTGTCGAAGTTGCACGGCTACATGCTGAAAATATACGATCCCCCCGGCCTCGAGTAAGCGCGGCAAGTTGGATACAAGAGACCGTGGCTATTCAACACATGATTTCGGCTCGGAATGAGAAAACGGCGGCAGGTAACTTGTGGATGATGAAGGACGAAACAGAATCCTCTCCACGGAAAGTTATCAGGTCCTCTCAAAGAAGCCGTTAATCGATGCCGCAATTACCGCGTAGCAAAATCGTTAAGACTCTTTTTATCCGATTATATTCGGCCGTGTATATAACGGCGATACAGAAGTTTAATCATCCATCTTACGTTGATCGACGACAGGTCTCTCATTCTCAACGGAGACTGTTTACAACACGGCGTACTTTGAATACGTTAAATGTTAATGCCGAGTCGCGTGTGGCAAAGGGAAGTTTATGATAAAACTTACCGCGACAACTTCTCGTGGTTATTTCGAAGACGTGTCACTTTGGCGTCGTCACGCTCGCGGCGCGCAGGTATTTTACGGCGAACCGTAATTATTTCTGCAATTCTATTTCCAGTAATTCTACGTTAATTGCAATTATTTTCTCAGCCCCTGTTTATTTCTCCCAAAATAAACACCCCGAAAATTACGTCGTTACGGGTAATGAGTTAAGCTACTGCAGTCAGGTCCAAAGCTACATTTACATAGATTTACATGACTATTGCGAGCGATTACGCGATTATTCGAGAACGTCGGATGAATTTTTGTTTTTCGGTTAACATCGTTGTTTGTCGCGCTTGGTAATTAAATGTAAACATTA